ATTAGTGACAAACAATAACAGTAACAACAGCTTTTTGACAAGTTTTAAATTTCTTTAAAATGCATTCAAAATGTTTAAAAATAAACTACAAAATTTTATTTAAAGTGCAAATTAAAATATAGCTGCATTGCAACTGTACTTGATAAAGTTTTTAACTTTTAAAATATTGTATGGTAAAAACAGAAGCTGCTCTTCATATTGGCATTTTTTGATGGGTTACCTTCATTTTTGCTTCTACTTTTAATTTAAAATAAGTTTCCATTCTCGGCAGGTTTCTAAGGTTCTTCTTCTACATATTAAAAAGTTGTTAAACATCTGAGTGGCGCACTGCTGCTACTAATGGTGAGAAAGTGTATTGCACCTTATTCAAAATCARTGCRGTCCCACGGCCCAAAGTTAAAAACTGTTGTTCTTTTGAGGCCCTCAAGGTGGCGCTCGTAGCCCACAACTGGGCCACGGCCCATAGGTTAAGAATCTCTGATTTAACGCACTGATCAGTCTCTATAGATTGATTTACCTGTATTAGCTTTGTAGAGATCTAGTGTGTGTGAATGTGTGTGTGAATGGGTAAATGAGGACACACTTTGTAGTGTGAAGTGCTTTGAGTATCCTGGTTGGATAGAAAGGAACTAGTGTATATAAATACAGTCCATTTGCTATTAATGAGTGAACTAAAGTGTGTTTTATAAATGCCTACTTAAAAAAACCCAGGCTTAAACATGGTCTGGTATGAGTGTTCTTTGTGTGGGATCTCTTTCACCCCTGTTTTTCCCCTGTCTGACCTACCCTCAGGTCACCTGTTGAGTACAGCCGAGGTGGAGTCAGCTTTAGTGGAGCACAAGGCCGTCGCTGAAGCTGCAGTGGTGAGCAAACCACATCCTGTCAAAGGAGAGAGCCTCTACTGCTTCGTCACATTGAAGGATGGACTCATATATAATCAAACACTGGAAGCAGAACTCAAAAAACAAGGTTTGTGATCACAAAACATGTTCTGTTTTTAATATTTATACATAAAGCCTTACTGTATCATTGTGTCTTAGTTGGGTAGTTCATAGCATCCTGTAATAAAAGTAAACGCTTAAAAAATGCGTAGAGAAAACAGATTAATGTGATAAGGTACTTAACTAAAACCAGTTTCACTATGTTGTGTTTTATATGTTTCCCTCAGTGAGAGAGAAAATTGGAGCCATTGCTACACCGGACTTCATCCAGAATGCACCAGGACTGCCTAAAACCAGATCTGGTAATCTACGCTTCCTTTCTGCAATAAAGTTTATGAAACGATGCATACAGTAAAACCTTTTTTCCACCTGAGAGATTTGAAGATGGTGCTGAGTCCAGACTTGTTTCACAGATGAAGATGTGTCTGTGCCTGACATGATACAGAAGTACAGCAAGTCTCTGTGTGACTGAGTATTACTGAAGTCCAGAGTTGTGTCCCTGATTACTCTTTGGTGTTTAYACAAATTCACATTATTTTCAAAAATAACCCCATAAAAGTCAACTTAAAAGACAATGTCTCAAAACCTTTTCAGGCTGCCTCTGGTTGTTCATGAATCATTGATTGARGCTCAGACTCTCAGTAAAGCTGATGATTGAAGCTAACCTGCCTGTGTTTTGGGGCAAACATTAAATTGTTCTTATGACTGAGTCAKCATTCCCAGTGTTGTTGACTGGCATCTCCCCACCTCTGTACCTGTGAGTGAGGTAGTGACAGACTCATGAAGATCTTTGAGTCTTTACCCGYAGATCCCAAAGATAACAGGAAACAGAAACTTTGTTATTCCTCAGATCTGCAGAATTTCAACTCACAGTTTCAGTTCTGGATTTAATCACAAATGAAGAACGCAACAGTTTGTTGTTGTTGATGGGTCAAGGTTTACAGTGGTACCTTGACTTAAGAATGTCCTAACTAACGAGTTTTTTGAGATACAAGCAGTCTCTCAGATATATTTTTGCTTTGAGTTGAGAGCTAAAATTTGTGTTACGAGCGAACTTCACACGCCCCACTGCTAGATGGCGCCACAAACGCTTGAGTGAACATCGCAACAGGTGTTCACAGTCTCAGTTAGCTTTAAGCAGTTAGCTCGCGGTTAAAGCATTTGTGTTCCACTCGCAGTTATTTTTATAAAACTTCACGAACCAGTTTTTGCCAACTATGGGACCAAAAAATGGTGAGAGCAAAGGATGGCGCTGAGAAAAAGAAACGGATGATGTGCATTGAACTGAAGAAAGAAATTATTGAGAAACACGAGAAAGCTGTGCGTGAAGTCGACTTAAGGCTCGGTTATAGTCGTGCTTTGGGTTGTCGCGGAAGCKCTGCGGAGTGCGCCCGCTCCTCAGCCACGCTCTGTGAAAACATTTGACGTTCATATTATCGCTATTTTTCAGTTGCCGACAGATGGYAGTATGGTGCCAAAGCAGCGGAAAAGTAGTACGAGAGAGTAGAACAAGAAACGCTTGAYGTCACACATAAAGTAACCACATTTACCTCTTTCGCCATATAATCTAACATAATATAGCATAATAATAACTAATATAATATCTGTTTCTCTGTGCTTCACGAAATGAGAGAGCCACACTGGTGTGTTTCCTCCAGGATCACGGCTTTCACAAACCGGTCGCAAATATTTTTACATGTCTTCCGTCATAAAACTCATCTTTCTTTGCAGCCGTTGCCATTTCCTGCCATGAGTTTTGTGCCATCTGGTTGTCTTTATGATCTCTCATGGAGGKATCATACAGATACCGGTACATTCGGACCTGTTCAGCGAGAGMACCATTAGCAAAGCAGTACGAGCCCAGCACTTCCACAGTCTGCACCATATTGAAGCTGTACCTTTTACAGTGTACTTACTTAAAGGGGACCTATTATGCAAAATTCACTTTTTGAAGGTTTTTTTACTCAACTTTGGGTATGTACTTCTTAAAAAAACAGTCCTATGACCAACAAAATGCACCCAGGAGCATATTTACTGTAAGTAAATGTATTTTTAATGTATGTTAATGACAAGTTTTATATTTCCGTCATTTTGTGATGTCACAAGCCGTACGACAACCCACCAGAACCTGCGTTCAGCCCCTTATCTATCCCCAACTCCTCAGTATAAAAAGCCGTCACCGTGTTGTTGTGTAATGTGTAGCTCATTTCACAACAAGCCTCCAATAGGGCAATGGGTAGAGTGTTGGACCAGAGAGCAGAAGACCAGGGTTTGAGACCAGCATGGACACAATTTAATTATTTATTTATATTCATTCGTTATGAACACGTTTTCTCATGTACCTCTATTGTTTA